TTCACTTATCTGGGAAGTACCATCAGCCAACGCCAACAGGTTGATCTCTGACGAAATCTCAGTACGGATAGAGAGGGCTAGTTTCTCATATGCCAGTTTACGTCGTCTCTGGCTTAGTAGACGTGATATCCGGCCGGCTGTCGACCAAAGGGCGGGTGTACTGCTCATCAGTTCGCTCCGTCTTCCTCTATGGCTGTGAGACCTGGCCATTGAGAGTGGAAGACATGAAAAGACTAGCTGTCTTCGATCATAAGTGCCTGCGCTCTATCTTTCGCGTGAAGTGGTATTATAAGGTGAGCAATATTGAGGTTAGGTATCGCTCAAGAACTAGGTATATGGGAGGGGAAATCAATCGACGAGGCTGTGAAATTGCATCGACTGAGATGGTTAGGGCATGTGTTACGTATGCACACCTAGTCATCGCCTTGCTCGACGAGCAATGTTAGGTGATATAGGGTCAAGTTGCAAAAGAGCTAGTTAGTAGTGGTCAAACCAAAACATGGCTTCACCAGTCAATGAAATCAACAACAGTTAGTCTAGGCTACGTGGGAAAGTGTAGACTCCCTGACTGGCTGGTTGGGGCCCTCGGGATAGTAAAAACCAATGACAGGCTGAAAATAATTAGTGATATGGCTCGAAATCGTTCTCAGTGGCTGTCGCAGATGTATTCACATCTTGTGGCATATGATTTCCAATAAAACTTTATGGTTATACAATTGGTGGATGGTGGCTAGCAGTGGATTCCAGGATAAGGTGCATTTCGTCATTTTAGGGACTCGTCAACTGGATGTACCTGCACTTCTCAGTGAGTGATGATGTTCCCACCGAGGCTCGAACCCAGTGCCCATAGTCTCAAACGCCAAAGCGTTATCCACTAGACCACTTGAGAACTATGGGCACTGGGTTCGAGCCTCGGTGGGAACATCATCACTCACTGAGAAGTGCAGGTAAACCCAGCTGACGAGTCCCAAATAAGACGAAATGTGCATCCTTGATTGCACTGCTAGCCACCATCCACCAATTGTTTACTAATTAAATGCCCAGACATCGTCGAAGTATCTGCACAAGAAGCCGATATGTCAACCTGAGACCGAGCACTTCGGTCCAATCAATCGACGGGATAATCAAAATTCAATTCAATAAACTTTTTTGTTCTTCGTTAGTACTATTCCTTTGTCTTACACCTCTGTTTACTGTCTCTCTTATGCATTTCTTCTACTTTCTTCTCTTACTTTGTGTGATACATGAAGGGAGTGTGGTGACTTGAACTGGTGCACATCGGTGCAAAGTTCTATTTCGAAAACAGACAGACAGAAACCAGAATGTAGCACTGCATTCTTGAGGAGAATAGAGGCGAGAAATATATACGGTCATAGTTTCACGAAAAACAAAAAAACACGTCAGAATTCAAGTAAAACTGCCAGCAATTAACTACATGAACATTCATATAAATATTTTTGAAATAACGACTAGAATATTAAAATCATTTGCACAGTTATTGTACATGAATCTCAGCATATTGACTTCATCATTCAATACCTTACAGACCAAACAGCGAAAGAAGACCCCTTCTGCAAAATAGATTACATAAACTGTGACAGGCACTATATTGGTTTATATGTGGGAGTCCTCTTTAACTCCGACCGAATCCAAGATCATAAACTTACTGCCCAAAGATACGAGATGATTTATTCCTTGTGAGAACTACGGACAGTAGTTTGACTGGGATAATGTGTAATTGTAAACAGCGGAGACATTAGAAGGGCCGGGATTTCAACTTCTTAAAGTATTGATTTCTACTAATTTGATTGATTGGGTACAGGATTTCCTCATGAGCTGACATCGGTTAGAAAACCATTGGAAAACCTGCATAGGGTACTGGACAGCTGTTTCATCTTAGTTTGGGACTTTTCATCGCTACGCACACACCGCCAGGGTTAGAAATCAGGACCTGATCCACTGGCCCATGAATTATAACTAGTGCCAATTTATAACGTATGTAAACATACATATGATGAATCACACATTTAGTTAGCACTTTTGTTTTGTCCACTGAACAAATACTATCAGTCAAATGAGACAATATACAGCCAAATGTATAGTTTTCTTTTGTACTTACCTGACCAAAATGTAATAAATTCTTTGAAGTTCCATGTGTATACCTTATGAATATTCCACGGTTGTTTTGTTATGATTTCATTTGATTGGTTAGACGAGTTATTCAAATAAAGAAACTGTGACTGAGAGTTGTCCTTTGTTGAAAAAAGATAAGTGGTTTCAGTTTAGAGAAATACTCTTTTTTTGACAGTCAAATTCACCTGACTGTGACCTAACTTTATGAAGGAGTGTAACAGTTTAAGTTCCCGTAATCCATATAACCGTACCCCAAATATTTATCAACCTTATTCAACAGCTGTACGACAACGGAACATGTCAAGTGATCCACAACGGAAAACTCAGCGAGGCGTTTGGAGTAGACACAGGAGTCAGACAAGGGTGCTTGCTTATTATCACCAATGATGACTGGATTATGCGTCAGACAGTGAGTGGGAAACGAGAAGACAGGAATATCCTGGACCAACTGACGTGAAGAACCTAGAAGGCCTGGATTTCGCGAGTGACTGATTTACGCTTGATGTCACACAAAATCGAAGACTTACAAGCGAGCGAAAACCGACAAACTGGTCGAAGAAGCAGCCAGCGAAGAAAGGACTCCAGATGAACATAGACAAGACGGAGGTTATGAAAATAACCAACCAACCAACAACAACAGCAACATCCAGCGCCGATCACCATCAACGGGAGGGATTTGAAAGAGGTTACTTCATTCATTCACTTATCTAGCTAGGGAGCATTGTCTCAACTACAGGAAGTCGGAACGGACGAGGATGTCAGTCAAATCGAGCGAGAATCGGGAAGGCGAGAAACACATCAACATTATCAACCTGAAACCGATCTGGAATTCTTCATCACTCAGCCAGAATCAACAACAAAATTCGGTCGGTTTGACTTTCAATACAAACAACGTCAAGTCAGTCAGTTCTCCTATACGGATCGGATCAGAAACTTGGCCAGCGAGCGGGCGGGTCACAAAGAATATTTCCAACAGGCTGGCTATCGCAGACCTTTATCAACAACTAACTGTCAACTATCGCTCTATGCTGAATGAAGATCAGATGGCCAGACCGGAAACAATCACCAACAAGAAACTATGGAAACAAACAAACAAAACAAGAACCGAATGCTCAACAAATATGCAGGAGAAAGTGGAGATGGATTGGACACTCGCTCGTTGAGGAGGTCGCTGGGTGATATGGAGTGCGCGTCAGGCCATTTCTCGAGTGGAACCAGGCCGAAAGGGAAGCAAGAGTCGAGTGGGACGTTAGTGGGAGAGTGACATGGCAGAGATCGTGTGAAGAGGAGTTGAAAGAGTATGGACTAAAATGGATGCAGGTGCAGAGTACAGCAGAAAGCAGAAGCAAGTGGATGAAGACGTGCAGTTGAAGTCCTATGTTCCACTAGGAACCCAAGGGAACAATAATAATAATAATCCATATAGCACACTGAAGCGAAACAAATTCAAAAGAACTGCCGTGATCGGCATTGTGAGTGCCTACTGGGTATGGAGATCACAAAAAGTGAATGTATGTTTACCACTGAAAATAATTTTAAGCCACATCACCAACACTTCCAAGCCATTTGTTCTTCGAATCCTAAAGACCTCAATCAGAGAGTCTACACATCATTACATGGCCCAAACGAAATATCGGAGATATTTTGGCTTAGCTATGCGTGATTGTTTTTTCCAACCTAATCGTATGATGGCTAAGATTACTCGACCAGAAAGCCGATTTTCTGACATGTATGCTACGTGTGTGAGTCATCTCCGTTGATGTAGCCTCATAACCTCATAGATGGACTCTGACTTCTTATCTTATACTCTACGGCTGCTAGCGTCAATATTGCTCACCGTATTATATCACCTAACACAGGAAAGCTAGTGTCAGCATCTGTGGTCAAAGACAGCTAGTCTTTTCATATCTTTTACTATTACTATGACGACTATGTCTCACAGCCGGATTTTTCAATTTTACGGAATTTTGAGGTGATCAAAGTTTAGTGATAAGTCTGTGTATGTTTGTGTGTGTGCATGTGCAGCTTGAACTTGCGTTTATGTGTATCTACCAATTTGATTGCAACTGTGGAGCTAGCCAGCTGCATTCGGCGTACAATTAGGCAGGTTCATCATCGTATTTCTTAATATCATTCAACATGGTTAAGCAAGGGGCAACCAGATCTATTCGTAGCTCTATTTTAGCACACCTTGTAGATAGATAGTGAGCATAAGGTTGACGTTAGTTAATACTGAATTTAAAATTATCTACCGCATTCCTACTAATCTTAATTTTGCTCTACGAGTTCGTCTTCTACATACCTACTGCTGAAGCAATAGGAATCCACCTGAAGAAGCCAGCCAAACCTGTGTGTTCAGAAGAAATTTGTACAGCCACTTTCTTTACCTTTTTTCCATCGTTACATGACCTTTAAAATTATAAAAATTATAAATTGTCCAAATTATTTTATTTTTTCTGACCACTTCATCTTTAAATACATGTTATCTTTGTAAAATTAAATTAATTTATTCTAACCATTTCTACCTTTTAATTGTGTGTATTGATTTTCTTCGTTAATTATTATCAACCCATTGACATTTTGACACTGACTAATTATTGTTAACAAACATATTGATGCCACTTGATGATTGGTAAACTGTTGTGTATTGTAATAAAAATGCTATACATAACATATTAGAGTAGAGCCAGAGTGAGATGGGGATCTAATTGAAAAGTAAAAATATTTCTTAGCTCAGTCTTTCTGTTTTATAAATATCTAAATGGGGATTTTTTCTATATTAAACATTTCGAACCAGTCGGCGTGAAGTCATTGTCACATCATCATTCTTATTCTTATCCACCTTTGTTTTGTTTTTCTATTTCCAGTATAAATTAGAAGAAGTTGATCTGATCAATCGTACTGCAAAACTGATATTATTCTATTGTCGTCGTAAACATTATCATCATTATACTCTATGCTCGATAACAAATGCATTACGACGTCGACGTCATAGTGCTGATATAAATAATGAAGGTCTGGATAGTTTATTATTACCTTCAACAACTGATTTAATTTCACAAATGGAATTATCTGAACACTCGAATCTATGGATAACACAACATCATCGTGATTCATTATCATCCTCTGGAGATATAGATTCAACTGCATTGAATGATATCAATTTTACTGGAGAGTGTAATAGTCAAACGAATATACAAGCAACAAATAATATGTTGAATCATTGTTCATCTGCTTTGACCATGTCTAATCAATCGATAAAAATTGTCAATGATAATGATAGTAATATATCATCTCTTGCTGGGGGTGGTATGCCTTTAGCTGGTTCAATTATACTGAGTGTTGAATTCCCGGTTTGTTATCCGTTGGGCGATGCTTTGCCGGAATTCCACATACTTGACTGTAATCCATCATTACCGGCTGATGTATTAGATGAGCTAAAGAATGTAAGTTAAGTTGTTTTTTTGTTTTCTGTCTTAATTATGGTGTTTTTCTTTCTTTTTTTTAAGCGTTTTTATTTTATACTGAGAGTACGTACGTGTTAGGAATTAAAAGAATATATATATATATTCTTACATTTTAGAATTCTAGAATTGATATACAAGCCTTTTTTGATGCTATTCTTCAAATGCGTTTATTGCTCTAGTCACACGCCTGTAGATTTTTTCATTACTCTTGATTCTTCAAATGAATGGATACTGAACAAAGAGTACTCTTTTCGATAACCCTTTCATCATCAGGCTCTAGAGTTATATATACAGTATATTGAATAAATGAATGAATTGGTGTTATTAACAACAACATTAATGTTGTTTAAATAACATCGAATCAATAATATTACTAATAGATTACAGCTCAATAGCAATGCTAGGACAACAAGCATCACTAGCCAAGACTCTGGCGTCCAGAGCCATTGATGTATGTTGTGTTTCAGAAACACGCATACAAGACCCAAGTGTGGTTATTCACCTAACCCCACCTGGCCAACAGGATGAATCTGCAAAATTCACCTTGAGGGTGTCAGGAGATGCCACAGCTAGTTCACGAGGATTAGCTGGTGTAGGGATAGCTTTGAGTACTAGGGCAGAAAAGACATTGCTTGACTGGATCCCGGTAGATAGCCGAATGTGTGCTGTCCGTGTGAACGGATCAGTAAAAAGGAGAAAGGACTGCACTACTCGCCGATGCCTTTTCGTAATCTCCGCCTACGCCCCCACTGACTGCAGTTCAGATGAAACGAAGGATGAGTTCTACCAAAAGCTGTCTAGTTTGGTGCGAAAGGCTAAACGCTCAGACATAGTCGTTCTAGCTGGTGACTTTAACGCTCAAGTAGGGAAATTGTGTCAATCTGAGAAGGATGTCGGTGGCACCTATGGAGTTCCGTGCCAGCGAACCGACAACGGTGACCGTCTCCTACAGTTCTGTTCGGATAATCATTTGTTTCTTGTAAGCACTAACTTCAAACACAAGGAGAGACACTGTTTGACCTGGTGACCCCCTTCATCAAACCAACGATGGACACAAATAGACCACATAGCAATGAGCTATCGCTGGGGTGGGTCAGTAGGAGATTGTCGCTCCTTCTGGAACACGTGTGTAGATACCGATCACGCACTGGTCCGCGCTCGTGTGTGCTCACGACTGAACGGACGTAGGAAACAGCTGGCGGTAAACCCATCACGTCCCCAGCTCGATCAGGAAACTAAATCCTATTTGAGGAAGAACTAGCTAAACACATATCTGAGTTCGACAGCTGTGCTCACCCTGAAGAAGCTTGGAAGAATATCCAGTCAGCCATAGATAGAGCTGTAAAAGCTGTGAATAAGGTAAACCCAAAGGTGAGTAAAAACCATTGGATTTCGACTACCTCATCCGAACTGATAGATGCTAGAAGACTTATTCCGGCGAGCTCCGAATTCAATGAGGAGCGAAAGCTGCACAAAAGGAAACTTACGAAAAGTCTCCGGAAGGACCATGAACAGTGGTGGGTGACAAAGGCGAAAGAGATGGAAAAAGCATCGGCGATAGGCAACACTAGACAACTCTTTAGACTCATCAGGGAAACGGGTAAAATTTGTATAACACCCTTGAATTGTAGTCGTATATAAAGTGGCTTCTTGTTTACAGAGAGTGAGTAGTCCTTTTCCGCCGCTTTCTTTGTCATGTGCTCTTTGATAAATTTTTCTGGATAGCTGTTTTCGATCAAAGTATCATATACAATACTTAATTCTTCCGAGTATATAGCTCTAACTCTGTGGTTGAGGGTCTTCACTAAATTTCTTTCGTACATGAGAGGAACGAAGCTGTGAAAATGTGTATATTGTCCTATGCTGTCCAAGTACTTTCACTATGCAAATTTCTTTTTTTGCTGCCATCTGGTTTTCTTGTAAGGAGGACATCCAGCAAGGCAATTCTGTCTTGGGATTCCTCTTCGCATATGAATTTCAAAGCCTAACGTACTTCATTGAATTCAGTAATTATTGTACTCTTATCAGAACCATTATCACAAAGAATGAAGGTTTCATACATATATCGGCAATAAAACGATAGCTTACTGAAAAGGTTGTTCAAAGGTACATCTTCTAGCTGTGGATATAGTACTGTTGACCGATAATACCTATAATTATCTGTTTGCCAACTTGCGCTTGTCTAACACTGACTAATATCTGTAATTGTATTTATTGATGGATTTACATGTTCAAGTTGGCTCAAGTCAGTGAGTCTATGATTTTCGTATCATTTTGGTTAACTGTATCTGCCTGATATATTACTGCTAAGGTTTGCTTTACTATTGTTTTTGTCCCTTGTTGTCCTTCTTGTTGTGAATTACTTTCCTTTTACTGGTGTTGTTCTGATTGTTTTATTCCTTGTTTTCCTGGTTTTAAGGGGAGCAACCCACAAGCTCGCTTCTCTCTAAACTATATCTTAATCTAACAATCCCCTTCTCTTGCGTATTATTTTTAAAATCTGTGAATAATGACAATTGCTTTGTATTCTCATTGTTAGGTAATCCTCTTGTACCTATTTAAACTTTGATACAAATAAGGTATTTAGGTTATGGTATTTTGTTCTTATGGGGACTTAGATTAACTTGAGTTTTTGGATTTTGTGACGAATAAACATCATGTAAAGAGGTCAGTGAGAACCATAAACCACTAGACAGCTATTTCGTTCGATTTTGTGGCCCATCCTCGGATGCACAACCGTGAATCTCTCAGAGATCGAACCAAAGACTTTCAAATTGTGGGACTAAGCTCGTTGGCCATTTAGTTACTTGATTTTAAAAAAAAAACATAACAAACCCCTTACAAACCAAACTATAGAAAATTAATCTGATGCTCGCTAGTGAGTGACTTGCTACAGGATGGAGTTTCCTTAAGAAGTTCTAGTGAAAAGTCGTGACCAGTGAGGTCTAATTAGATATCACGTGTGTGTGGATGGATGTCCCACCAACGATAATGGTTGAGGTCACGCTAAATCACGAATTGGTAGAAGTTAGAATTCATGCACTGGCCATTGAATCGGGTCCCAGTGGCTGAATGGTATACGAGCCAGCTTGCCTTGTAACCGGAAGGTCCTGGATTCGAACCCTGGTGTGTGGGTGCGTACTGGCGATGATTCCCAAGCTAGGATGAAACAGCAGCTGTCCAGTACTCCCTGTGGCTGGTTTTCAATGGTTCTCTAACTGATATCAATCCGTGATCACCTCGTAAAAACATAACTAAACCTTACAAACCAAACTATAGAAAATTAGTCCATTAATATTTTTACCAGTGATTTAATGCACATCGTGTATGTATTTCTGTGTCTGGTAATGTTCGTATCATTCAAACAGGCGTATTTAATAATCAGTTCACTAAACACCATCTTTTCTGCTTCTTTTTTTTTACCTTGGATACGGGGGTTTATGATTATATGTAACTCTGCACTAAGTAACACATGGTGGTACTTGGGTGTGTCAGTGTAAACTGTCACTAGCGCCAGTGATTCCAATTTTTTTTTAGTAACACATGATCATAATCTCATAATAACATCAGGTAGACAAAAATAAGCAATATACAAAATAATTGATTTCTCTCGACTTTACGGATTGAAATTCACTATACATTTTCATTGAAGCGGAGGCCTCAGGCGGGATAGTCAGATATATTCCTGTAGTATGGAGTGTGTATATCTCAGCTATTCACTACAGTATTCTTATAGTCTTGATTCTTCATCTTGCAACTGGGGCCATAACGTCAAATTTACGTAGAGTTGAAAGCTTTGACTTGGCAAGGCAAGATTTTGGTGGAACTCATGTGGAAAAAATATCATTATTATTATTTTTCCTTCAGTTCCTAGAGGAACATAGGGCTTCAGCCGCGCGTCTCCATTGCGTTGGGTTCTCTGCTAGAGTTTCCACCTGGCTCCAAGTCTGCCAACATGCTTTCATCATATCCTCTTCACATGGCCTCCTCCAAGACACCCCACCCTCGCACTGACGTCCCACTCACCGCTTGCTTCCCTTTCGGCCTCGTTCCACTCGAGAAATGGCCCGACGCGCACGCCATGTCACCCAGTGGCCTCCTCAGCGAGTGTCCAATTCATCTCCACTTTCTCCTGCATATTTTTCTGTTGGTTGGCGATTGGTTCTTGTTTTGTTTGTTTGTTCCCATAGTTTCTTGTTGGTGATGCTTTCCAGCCCGGCCATCTGATCTTCATTCAGTATAGAGCGATAGTTGACAGTTAGTAGTTGATAGAGGTCTGCGATAGCCAGCCTGTTGGAAATATTCTTTGTGACCCGCCCGCCCGCTGGTCAAGTTTCTGATCCGATCCGTATAGGAGAACTGACTGACTTGACGTTGTTTGTATTGAAAGTCAAACCGACCGAATTTTGTTGTTGATTCTGGCTGAGTGACGAAGATTTCCAGATTGGCTTCAGGTTGATGAATAATGTGTTTCTCGCCTTCCCGATTCTCGCTCGATTTGACTGACATCCTCGTCCGTTCCGACTTCCTGTAGTTGAGACAATGCTCCCTAGCTAGATAAGTGAATGAATGAAGTAACCTCTTTCAAATCCCTCCCGTTGATGGTGATCGGCGCTGGATGTTGCTGTTGTTGTTGTTGTTGGTTGGTTGGTTATTTTCATAACCTCCGTCTTGTCTATGTTCATCTGGAGTCCTTTCTTCGCTGGCTGCTTCTTCGACCAGTTTGTCGGTCAATTTTTGCTTGTAAGTTTTCGATTTTGTGTGACATCAAACATAATACGAACATGCCACGTCCCCATGCTTATTTTTGCTTTCATAGAAAGAATGCACATCGGCTGGCTGGTTTTCCGAAGGCTTTCACCAGCCTGCGTCATTTCACTTCCTCGATTCCAGCGAAAAATAAAGTTATTGTTTTTATATTTTTAGTAATTTCAATATATTTATGCGTTGAAGTTTCTGTAGCAATTTGGTTAAGTTTTGGGGGGTGGAGTTGCTAGCACCACGCCCCAACCCTCCCTCTTTATCCGGTCTTGGGACCGGCTAGAAAACTAGCGAGCTAGTAATCTAGGCGAGGTTGATAAAGATATAATAACTTATAATATATTGCTGTCTAACAGCATATTAGAGATCTGATTCATCGGCTTGATCAATTGGTTTTTATCCAATGCGACATGGGTTCAAGTCTCTCTCTCCGCGTAGTTCAGCGTCAGCAACTGGATAGCATCAACAGCCGTCACACGGTAAGTGTAAAATTTGATCATGGTAATTTTGAGTTCCAAGAAGAGCCTGACATCATTTCCGCCCTTTGGTTTTTACAGTCCTTTGTGTATATTGGTTCGCTATTTTTTCCACAAAGTAGTGTCTGAACTGATATGAAAACTTTCGAATTCATTATTCAAAAATGTTTTAATTAAGTTAAATAATAATTATAAATATTGTCTATATTACTAACGAAATTTTATTTTATAAATTAGGTTTTACATTCGACTGCATCAGAATTTGTACTGTCTTCACGTGGTTGTGTTGAACCGTGTATACGGAATGCTGTGATCACTTTGCAAACTTATCCAGTATCACATAGTCAAGTGAGTTGTACTCTTTCTTACCTTCTGTTGGTTTGTTTTTGTTTCTTTTAATATTCAAATTTTTTCCAACTCTCAACTCTACATATGTAAAAAAAATTATAATTGTAAAATATCAGCACGATTGAAATGAGTAATTCCGACGTTTCCTACCTTCGGCAATCTGGTCCCAACTTCTTCAGGGAAATTAATCGAAATTAACATAACAGAGGTTTATATATGAAACGAACATCTCTTGTTTTTAAAAACGTTGTCCAGTGATCAGATTGCCGAACGAAACATCTGAATTACTCATTTCAATCTCGCTGAGATTTTACAAATGTCTACTTCTCACTCGGCGCCCAAATATTGTAGAACTATTCTGTCAAATCTTGTTGACATTTCATTTGACTCAACTCTATATGTTTATTTATTTACTGGAAGTATATTTCATTGTTTTTCATTGTTTTCCTGATATAACTTGGATCGTTCATAAACATCTAAGAGCCTTCCAATTGTTTAAGTTTAATTGAATTCCCTGTGTGTTGTGATTATTCTGAACCGAAATGCTTCGTGGCTATTGACTTGTCAGCTCTTAGTACGAACTCTTCAAGGATGTCTAATGACTAACATAATTTTGCTTTGTTCGATGGTGACTAGCAGTGGAATCCAGGATGTACACGCGCTGTCCTATTTGAGATTCATCAACTGAATGTACATACTTCTCCAGTAAGTGGCGGTATTTCTATTAAGATTCGAACCTTGCAGTCATCGTTTCGTGGCCCAAGTGGTCTAGTGGATAACGCTTTGGAGTTAGAAACTATGGGCACTGGTTTCGAGCCTCAGTGGGAACACCATCAATCACTGGGGAGTGCAGGTACATCCAGATGACAAGTCCCAAATAAGACTAAATGCGAATTGTGGATTCCACTGCTAGTCAGCATCCACAAATTAAATTAATTATTATCAGTTGTTAACAAAACAGATGAAATTACATATGATTACATGGAGGATTTCATCATTAGTTGACATCAGTTAGAGAACCACTGGAAAACTACCTGGGATTACTGGACAGTTGTTCCACCCGTCCTAGTTTGCGACTCTTCAGCAGTACACACCCAGTGGGTCAGAAACTTGGCGCGTGGGCGAGTCACAAAGAATATTTCCAACAAGCTGGCTATTGTAGACCTTTATCAACAACTAACTGTCAACTATCGCTCTATACTAAATGAAGATCAGATGGCCGGGCCGGAAACAATCAGAATCACCAACAAGAAACTATGGGAATAAACAAACAAAACAAGAACCAATCGTCCAACAACAACAAATATGCAGGAGTAAGTGGAGATGGCTTGGACACTCGCTGGCCTAGGAGGCCGCTGGGTGACATGGCGCGCGCGTCAGGCCATTTTTCGAGTGGAACCAGGCCGAAAGGGAAATGGGTGGGTCGTCAGTGCAAGGGTGACACGGTGGAGATCGTGTGAAGAGGAGTTGAAACAGTATGGACTAACTAACGTGGATGCAGGTGAAAAGTACAGCAGAGAAGAAGATAGAAGCAAGTGGGTGGAGACGTGCAGTTGAAGCCCTATGTTCCACTAGGAACCTAAGGGAACAATAATAATAATAATGATAATCAAACAAAAAAAATTCCTACAAAACCAATATTTGAGAAATTACGTATTACAAATAAAGAAAAAACATCGGTAAGTTATGAAGCTTGGTTAAGTAGTCTTGCGTGATCTCGAAACAGGAAAGAATGAACAGTGTATTCAAAAAATGTAACTGTTTGAAATGAGAAATATTGTCCCTAATACTAAACGGGTTCAATATATATATATATATATATATATATATCGGATATATATATATATATATCACTACAAAAGATTTGTATATGGCTTCAGAATCGTATGTAAGAATTAAGTGGTCAATAATTCAGCTGTCGGTTCGTCCAATTTCGTCATACATCCATACTGGGATATATGTAACAAGAGAAATCAAAGGCCAGGTAACTGATCCTTTATTAAGGAAATCAACACATATTTATAGATTTTCATGTACATTAATATAGACTATTGTTAGCAGAAAAACACAGTCTTCCGATTGGTTGTTTCTCACTGAAAGTTGATCTTTCATCTCTTTGTGTCTGTTTCTTGAATGTTAGATCATCTACATGTTAACTATATCCACCTACGGAAAGCCTTTTTTCTCATTTTTCTTACGACCAATACTGGGGACATAAACATTGACGTAAATTACCGTCCACCAATTTCGACTAACAGCCATCTGTCACCACACTCGTCTCCCCGTCAAAGACTTGCGACTGAAGTTAGTTCGGTCTTCTTGATTCTAGGGGCTTTGCTCGTGTGTGTTGCTGCCTGAAATCTCGGCGATCACTGATGCTCCCCTGTTTCTATTTATTTACCGTTGCGATTGTGTCTACGTAACCCTATCTCAACGTGACCATATGTGGTCCTTTCTAATCTTGAAACTGTTTGCCTCACCCTGTCGCACATTCGACGGTATTTTGCCTCACACTTTCATATGCTGCTTTCTCCCGACTTCCCGGAAGCGTTCCAAGTAACAGCCTCATCGCTGACAGATCTTGAAGGCCAATCAGCCGCGCAGAAGTCTCGATGATCCATATATCTCCATCAAAAACTGCAGGTTATAGGCTTACCATTTGTCGGTAGGCGGTGGCACCAAATGTAGCAACAGAAGGCAAGAATCAGGCAACAGATCCTTCATTAAGGAAATCAACACATATTTATAGATTTTCATGTACATTAATATAGACTATTGTTAGCAGAAAAACAGTCTTCTGATTGGTTTTTTCTCACAGAAAGTTAACCTTTCATCTCTTTGTGACTGTTTCTTGAATGTTAGATCATCTATATGTTAACAGTATCCGCCTACGGTAAGCCTTTGTTCTCATTTTTCTCACGACCAATATTGGGGACATAAACATTGACGTAAATTACTGTCAACCAATTTCGACTAACAGCCAGCTATCACCACACTCGTCCCCCGTCAAAGACTTGCGACTGAAGTTAGTTCGGTCTTCTTGGTTCTAGGGGCTTTGCTCGTGTGTGTTGCTGCCTGAAATCTCGGCGATCACTGATGCTCCCCTGTTTCTATTTATTTACCGTTGCGATTGTGTCTACGTAACCCCATCTCAACGTGACCATATGTGGTCCTTCCTAATTTGGAAACTGTTTGCCTCACCCTGTCGCACATTTGACGGTATTTTGCCTCACACTTTCATATGCTGCTTTCTCCTGACTTCCCAGAAGCGTTCCAAGTAACAGCCTCATCGCTGACAGATCTTGAAGGCCAATCAGCTGCGCAGAAGTCTCGATGATCCATATATCTCCATCAAAAACTGCAGGTCATAGGCTTACCATTTGTCGGTAGGCGGTGGCACCAAATGTAGCAACAGAAGGCAAGAATCAGGCAACAGATCCTTTATTAAGGAAATCAACACATATTTATAGATTTTCATGTACATTAATATAGACTATTGTTAGCAGAAAAACACAGTCTTCCGATTGGTTGTTTCTCACTGAAAGTTGATCTTTCATCTCTTTGTGTCTGTTTCTTGAATGTTAGATCATCTACATGTTAACTATATCCACCTACGGAAAGCCTTTTTTCTCATTTTTCTTACGACCAATACTGGGGACATAAACATTGACGTAAATTACCGTCCACCAATTTCGACTAACAGCCATCTGTCACCACACTCGTCTCCCCGTCAAAGACTTGCGACTGAAGTTAGTTCGGTCTTCTTGATTCTAGGGGCTTTGCTCGTGTGTGTTGCTGCCTGAAATCTCGGCGATCACTGATGCTCCCCTGTTTCTATTTATTTACCGTTGCGATTGTGTCTACGTAACCCTATCTCAACGTGACCATATGTGGTCCTTTCTAATCTTGAAACTGTTTGCCTCACCCTGTCGCACATTCGACGGTATTTTGCCTCACACTTTCATATGCTGCTTTCTCCCGACTTCCCGGAAGCGTTCCAAGTAACAGCCTCATCGCTGACAGATCTTGAAGGCCAATCAGCCGCGCAGAAGTCTCGATGATCCATATATCTCCATCAAAAACTGCAGGTTATAGGCTTACCATTTGTCGGTAGGCGGTGGCACCAAATGTAGCAACAGAAGGCAAGAATCAGGCAACAGATCCTTCATTAAGGAAATCAACACATATTTATAGATTTTCATGTACATTAATATAGACTATTGTTAGCAGAAAAACAGTCTTCTGATTGGTTTTTTCTCACAGAAAGTTAACCTTTCATCTCTTTGTGACTGTTTCTTGAATGTTAGATCATCTATATGTTAACAGTATCCGCCTACGGTAAGCCTTTGTTCTCATTTTTCTCACGACCAATATTGGGGACATAAACATTGACGTAAATTACTGTCAACCAATTTCGACTAACAGCCAGCTATCACCACATACATATATATCACTGTGCACGTTTAGATAATAATACCCTACTGGCACAATCTTTGTATTGATTTCCACAAGCCAATCAATTATGTTGCTAACGCTGGAACATTATTTATCCTTGATGCTTTCATGAATAAGATATTGCGTGGAGAAAGTAAAATGTTTTTTCTATCTGCCTTCGATAATCTGCTTCAAGGAACTGCATATGTTGTCTTCTTGCCTTCAATTTCAGGTTTACAATTGACTTCTTCTTTGATAAACTTCTGTCATTCACGAATTCCGGATTCTTTCCTTTCATGTGTTTGTTGATGAATGCCGGTGGATAACCATTCTTAATCCGATTGTTTTCTTTTTTTGCTGGGAAAAACTCCAATTCTTGTGAGAAAAGATTTGATTGTTTGTCCTTTTTTTAAGTGATGAAAAATGTTCATTAAAATTTTTCAAAAGAATGGATAGTGAACAAAGAGTACTCTTTTCGATAACCCCTTCATCATCAGGATCTACAGTTATATATCCATCCATAATAGTGAATGAATGAATCAGTGTTATGAAAAACATTAATGTTG